CGCAGGTGCGGAAAAGCAAAAAATCTGAAGCCTCCTCAAAAATTCCAAACTCTCCGTTAACCATCCGAAATCACCCCGAGGCCCCCGGGACCTCAACCAAAAGCACAAACATCACCTAATACTTTATTCAAACTTGTACCAATCTTCAAAACACTTCAAACAATATCAAATCAACCAAAACACATCGGACTCAAGCCTAAGTTTCTAAAATCTTCCGAATTTCGCTTTTGATCAAAAACCCGACTAAACCACGTCCGAATGACCTGAAATTTTGCACACACATCCCAAATGACACAACGGAACTATTGCAACTCTCGGAATTCCATTTCGACCCTCGGATCGAAATCTCGCTATCGAACCAAAAACTTCAAAAATTCAACCTTCAGCATTTCAAGCCTAAATTAGCTACGGACCTCCAAAACACAATCCGAACACGCTCTTGACCCCGAAATCACTCAACGGAGCTAACAGAACCATCAGATTTTCATTCCGAAGCCGTCTTCGCATTGTTCCGACTACAGCCAACCTTCTAACATTAAGCTCTCATTTAGGGACTAAGTGTCCCAAAACTCTCCGAAACTCAAAACCGAATATCCTGGCGATCAAAATAGCAGAAATAATCTCGGGAAAATAGTTAATAGGGGATCGGAGCATTAATTCTTAAGACGACCGGCCAAGTCGTCACAGTTTAAGCTCTATGTTGTCATGAATTATAACTGACCAAATCAAGACCTTGGCCAGGGCGATTGCATGAAAGAAGAAAAGAGTTTTTTAGGTCATTCCATGGTCGATTATATTTTACATGAACACATAGTTGGTTGCCTATTAGGATTTGACAGTTGAACCATATCCTAGGGTGGCCCAGAGCTATAAGGACAGAAGGAATTAATATATTATTTTTCTATAGGTTCTTGAGAGTAAATTGTATACTTCATGCTATCCGGTCGTTAAGGAGTGTTGCTAGACGCCACCCTTGATTAGTATATTGATGTGATCAATTTACTACCGGCTTAGTATTGAACCTATGGGGTCGCACACTAACGAGTGTTCTGATCTTTGCTAAAGGATTAATTACTTTATTATTTGATAATTAAATTAAAGAATTTAATTAGTCAAATAAATTTAGTTATTAGTCCAAATAAAATATTATTATATTCTTTGCTAGCACAGAGGATATAATCAATAATGTGGACAAATTGAAATTTTCTATTTGGAATAGAAAATTGAAATGATATCTCTTAGTTAAAAAATATATATAGGTGGTATATATAATATATTGATATTGATCTATATAAAGGTTATATATAATATTCGTTTATTCATATAATCCAATTTGAATGGTTTCAAAGGGACGTGAAAGTCAATTTTGGATTAACAAACGTGTAGCTATCACAATTGAACTAATTAGTATGGGATTGGATTCTTTTTCCAAAAAGGAGGCTTCTGAGAAGTTCAATTTGAATGAACTTTGAAAGACAAAAAGTAGCCACAATTTTTGAAGCCTCTGTCTTGGACTTACCTATTAGAAAAATATTTTCATTTTATATATATACACACATACTTGTGAACAATGAGAAGTAGTTAGAGTGAAAAATCACAAGTTGCATGCACCGTACGAAATTCTAAGAGAAATACGTTCTTGACAAGAAAATAGTTTTCTTTGTTCTTCCTTGCTGAAATTTTTTAGAAAATTTTCAGTGCATAATTTCGTTCAATTTGTTCACGGGTTTCATTGATCAAAGATTTGATAGCAAGGATTGATCTCGGTGTAGATACGCATAGGATCTTCGCACTCTCGAAGAAATTTTGAAACAAGATTCTCTTCACCTGGTATGTCTTAGATCCGATCTTTGATATGTAAATAAATTTTAAACACGAAAAGTTCTACCGAGGATTGTTATTATCTTCCGCTGCGTGTTATGAACACCTATATGCAATCCAACATGCGTTGCATTTTGGAAAATTTAACCAAAAGCGAATGGAACTTCGTTTAAAAAGGAAGTTTAAGTTATATATTGTTGGTGTAAAAAAAATCACTTAAGGAATATCTAAAAGTAAGTCTCCTTAAAATTTAAGATTTATAATTTTTGAAAAATAAATCAGAGTAGGAGGTAAAAGTGACCTAATGTTGTAAAAATTTCTTATACAGAATGTGTATATTACTCAAAAAGAAGAAACAAGAAAATATTATTGGCTAAAATGAGTTGTCAAGGACCCCGGTTGTTCAACCGTTTAATTTACATAATGCCTTAAACTATCAGTCAATACATGAGATGTGAATTAGAACAACTGTCGAGATTATTTTTCAGAATAAATGGCATGAAAGTATCAATACCCTTATTGTAAAAAATAATTAAAAATTGTTGATTCTACGAACTGAAAATAGAGAGCATGAAAGCAACAACTTATTTTCATTTCTTCGAATATCATGGTGTCCGGGTCAATTCGTATATATTTCGACTATTTTACTATGTACATGCATGTGCCCTCTCACTATATATAGTCTACCGAGGTTTAGGTAGATGAAAAGTATATACTTTATCCCGACTTTCTATTTTTATGTTTTTAGTTTTAATTTGATTCTATTGACGATATGAACATTGATTTTCCATGATCTTTATCTTTGCTTCCTTCGACTATTACACCACAATCATGGTGCAGAACAAAAAGAAAATATAAAGGTACCCGATGGAATAGTCAAGTTACGCATAATAGAATCAAATTAAAGGCTGTGGATTCGACGATTGGATTCGATCCAAGAATTGAGACATCGAAGGCTGTGGTGTGGATCTCATTCCCAGATCTTCCACCAAATTATTTTTCTAAGAAATCTTTGATGTCAATTGCATCTGTAGTTGGAAAACCTCTTGCTATTGATAAGGCGACGAAAGATCGAACAAGGCCAAGCGCTGCGAGGGTTAAAGTTTTGTTGGATCTGCTGGATAAGCATCCCAAAAAAGTAAAGATTTCAGTCGTCGAAAAACTTTCTGGAAAATTTAATGATTTCAGTCAAAAGGTTATATATGATTACCTTCCAATGTACTGTACATGTTGTAAGCACCAAGGGCATGATGAAATTTCATGTCGCGCAATGAAAGGAAGAAATAAAAATGCAAAGGAAAATACAGAGCAAAATAGTCGAACTGATTTGGATGAGAATTGTGTTGAACAGCTTCAGGGTGATGCAAGGCAATTATTGAATGCAATAAGAGATGCCAATCAGCTGGAAGATAATGACAATGTGACTAAAATGCAGGGAATGGTCGATGACACTTCACATACTCAGAATAAGTCTAAAGGTAAGGCTAATGCTACAGGAACTCTGGCGATCTTCACAGGTCAAAAGCCTACTGGACATGTAGGAGGACAATGGAAAGAGGTGAAGGATAAGCGCGTGAAGCCTGTCAATAATGAGAATTGTGTTCAAACAAAAACAGGACATGAGACTATGGCATTGAGTGCTGCAACCAAGGAGAATCAGATGNAAAGGAAAGAAAAATAGCAGTGTAGGGAGATAATTACTTATTTTTGGAAAAATAAAACCAATGTCCAAGTAGTGTCAAAACCTCGCCGGAATTTCCTTAAAAAAAATGAAAACAAAATTTGTCTTTTAGTTTGATTTATTAAAAAAAATCTTTTAATCACTTTCAAAATCAAAAAATAAGAAAAAAAACCCCACCCCAAAATCCTCTACCTTCTCTCTACTTTCTCTCTCTAGAAAATTTCCGCCGTCACTGTAGCATTGCATACGAGTTACTGTTCATCGCAGCATTTTTTGCGATTTGAACTTGCTCATGCTCGTGTAAGGCAGCAATGGCTGCGTTGAACTCTCCCCAGTCCTTGGCTGTGGGAGAGCAAGCACCTGGGATCAACATTCCTCCAAAAATGAGTTATGCAGCAACTGTGACTAAAGCAAATGTGCGACAAATCCAACATACAGTGCTATGTCCAGTTAGATTCGAACATGGAGAACCAATCGTTGAATTCACCACAGATGAGGTGAAAGAGTTTGTCATAGAGGAAGGTTTACACCAAGCAGTTGTCATCAAATTCTCTTATGGAAAACCAGAACTTCACGACCTCAGAAGAATTTTTCCAAAATAGTTCGATCTGAAGGGATCATGTAACATCGGGCAGCTGGAGTTTAGACATTTACTGGTGTGATTCGATCTTTATGAAGATTATGTAAACTTTGTTTCCAGATCTACTGGGCACATTAACTCAAATGGATATGAGTTCTTCTTCAGAACTTTTCCTTGGACGATTGGATTCGATCCAAGAATTGAGACATCGAAGGCTGTGGTGTGGATCTCATTCCCAGATCTTCCACCAAATTATTTTGCTAAGAAATCTTTGATGTCAATTGCATCTGCAGTTGGAAAACCTCTTGCTATTGATAAGGCGACGAAAGATCGAACAAGGCCAAGCACTACGAGGGTTAAAGTGTTGCTGGATCTGCTGGATAAGCATCCAAAAAAAGTAAAGATTTCAGTCGTCGACAAACTTTCTGGAAAATTTAATAATTTCAGTCAAAAGGTTATATATGATTACCTTCCAATGTATTGTACATGTTGTAAGCACCAAGGGCATGATGAAAATTCATGTCGCGCGATGAAAGGAAGAAATAAAAATGCAAAGGAAAATACAGAGCAAAATAGTCGAACTGATTTGATGAGAATTGTGTTGAACAGCTTCAGGGTGATGCAAGGCAATTATTGAATGCAATAAGAGATGCCAATCAGCTGGAAGATAATGACAATGTGACTAAAATGCAGGGAGTGGTCGATGACACTTCACATACTCAGAATAAGTCTAAAGGTAAGGCTAATGCTACAGGAACTCTGGCGATCTTCACAGGTCAAAAGCCTACTGGACATGTAGGAGGACAATGGAAAGAGGTGAAGGATAAGCGTGTGAAACCTGTCAATAATGAGAATTGTGTTCAAACAAAAACAGGACATGAGACTATGGCATAGAGTGCTGCAACCAAGGAGAATCAGATGATAAATGTTTTGGCATTGGTGGAGATCGAAGATGAGCAGGCAGACCATGTCCAGATTCGGAATAGCTTTGCAGTTTTAGGAATGGAAAAACCTGATGACAATGAAGGAAATAATCTGATGTTGATAGGGGAAACCTCTGCTGCCAAAAACAGAGCTAACATGGAACCAAATGGCAATGTGACTGCAACTGCAGATGCTATTACTCAACTTCCAAAATATGATGCTCGTACAAAACAATTTTCAAAAGATACAAACCAGTTAAATCCAAATGTTATGGCTTTTAATCTTTCTGCTAAAGAGAATGAGCATCAAAAGCATACAAAACAAGAGTCCACAGCACAATGGGCTAATAAGATTTTCGGAAGCAAGTTAGTTACCACTAATCACTCGTGTCAGGACATCCCATCTCAAGATACATATGGATCATCGGAACAAGTGAATGAGAAGGACAAACTAGCTTTGACTAGTGGCAAACTTTGGGAGGATAAAGCTGAGGAGGATTCTAAAGAAGGAGAAATTCCAAAAGGAATAAATGAAGAAGCTGAAGCTGATCAGGAGGTCATAGAGGAGGAAGATCAAAGTGTAAATGATAATGCAGCTGTTGTAGCGGAACATACTCGAGATCCAAACAGAGCAAATACTCTGTTTCAAAACAGAGAAAAGGTCAAAAACATACCAGAGGAGGAAAATAATGCTGCAGACTGCAGTGAAGCCAGGAAACAACCAGCTACAACAAATACAGGCACATCAATGCACTTGGACAAAAATGATAAATTGGATGGATTAAAATGCAACGCTGAAGGGGAACAAGGGATGAGTAAAAAAAATGACAATCAAAAAGAGGTTGGTCATAACAGTAGGGTGAGGATACTCAAGTATAATGATACCAAAGATGTAATGACTCGTTGTCCCTCTCATGAATTGGCAAGACCAATTATGAATCAAGAAAAAGAAGATGAAAATATTCTGGGAAATGGAAGAGATTTAGATGAGAAATCCACAACTCAAAACTTCATCAACGTGGCAAGAAAAGGTGATATCTCTCCAACTCATATAACCAAAGTTAAATCTGCTGCAAAAGAAAAAAAAAGGAAAGATTAACAGAAACAATTCTGGCATGCCTACTGCTGGGATCCAAACTCGACGAGGTTGTTCTAAATCAAATAATTGTTAATGGATGCAATTATTTAGAATATTAGATCCGTCAATATGTAGCGAGCCTTTGAGAGGCTCGTAAAAATGCATAGACAACATAATTTCGATTTTGTTGGTCTCATGGAACCAATGCAGGATGGTTCAAAGCTGGANCATCTCAAGATACATATGGATCATCAGAACAAGTGAATGAGAAGGACAGACTAGCTCTGACTAGTGGCAAACTTTGGGAGGATCAAGCTGAGGAGGATTCTGAAGAAGGAGAAATTCCAAAAGGAATAAATGAAGAAGCTGAAGCTGATCAGGAGGACATAGAGGAGGAAGATCAAAGTGTAAATGATAATGCAATTGTTGTAGCAGAACATACTCGAGATCCAAACAGAGCAAATACTCTGTTTCAAAATAGAGAAAAGGTCAAAAACATACCAGAGGAGGAAAATAATGCTGCAGACTGCAGTGAAGCCAGGAAACAACCAGCTACAACAAATACAGGCGCATCAATGCACTTGGACAAAAATGATAAATTGGATGGATTAAAATGCAACACTGAAGGGGAACAAGGGATGAGTAAAAAAAATGACAATCAAAAAGAGGTTGGTCATAATAGTAGGGTGAGGATACTCAAGTATAATGATACCAAAGGCGTAATGACTCGTTGTCCCTCTCATGAATTGGCAAGACCAGTTATTAATCAAGAAAAAGAAGAGGAAAACNTGAAAACATTCTGGGAAATGGTAGAGATTTAGATGAGGAATCCACAACTCAAAACTTCATCAACGTGGCAAGAAAAGGTGATATCTCTCCAACTCATATAGCCAAAGTTAATTCTGCTGCAAAAGGAAAAAAAGGAAAGATTAACAGAAACAATTCTGGCATGCCTACTGCTGGGATACAAACTCGACGAGGTTGTTCTAAATCAAATAATTGTTAATGGATGCAATTATTTGGAATATTAGATCCGTCAATACGCAGCGAGCCTTTGAGAGGCTCGTTAAAATGTATAGACAACATAATTTCGATTTTGTTGGTCTCATGGAACCAATGCAGGATGGTTCAAAGCTGG